AAAAAGAAATTAAACAGACCAATTCTCCAAGCTTCAAATCAACAGTAAAATTAATCAGAAGTGTTACTTTCAACCATAAAAATTATTAATTCTTTGCATGTTTATATTTCAAATGAATAATTTTATCAAGCCTAAGAAGAAAAAAGCAATTTTAGAAAACATACATTATATTAGTCCATTTTGATGTTGTGTTTGTTTAGACCAAAAAAAATACATTTATTGTACTTCATTAAATTTGTAGGTCCATCATAAATCCCTTGTATTTACTTTACCATATAGAAGCAACAGATGGTCAACAGACATATCCCAGGAAGGACTTACACAGTAAAACATGACCTTCAAGAAAAAATGCAATATCTTGATATATGTCAATTGCATAACCACCACCTATAAAAGGGTAACAACAAGCCACATATCATCAGTTGAAAAAAAATACCATCATAAAAAGAAATCAGCCTCAAGAAACAACAAAACAAAGACAAAAATAACCCAAAAACCTTCTACAGGCTGCATTAGGAAGAAATTTTCAGAACACAATGTGTAAGAAAACCAGAGTGAGTTATACATTTCTATAATTTATATGTTCAAAGAAAAGTACAATAGTGTTTCTTTGAAGTAATTTTTGTTTCTTTGTCAAGTAAAAACCATATCCATTCAAAATTAATTCATTAAACAAAGCCATTTCTTCCTTGTTGAAATGAGACTTATCAGACAAATATGAATTTACTTTATACACTCTACATAACTCAAACATTGTACAAAGAAAAAAATCTGTTCCAAAATTAAAATTACAAACATGTATCCTCTAAAACACAATCATCCAACTAAAATAGAATGCAAGGCAGGATACAATTGCAGAATTGGTCCTCACCTCCCCTTCAAAGTAGTGTAAGTGAAGCTATCTTCTGAAATGACCCTGATGAGTCTTTGCTAAAGGGGAAGACAAAACCATGGTAGGTCAACTATTCTTAGTAACCATCAAAAAATTAAAACATAAACTGAACATTTTTCATCAATCAGTTGTAGATAGTCTTACTTGTACAGAGTGTTCTTACTCTTGCATTCCATACCATTGTGGAATCTCTTGAAACTTTGGTGGAAGTTATTCAACTTTCATCAGAACTTAGATCTTAGTATCTAGTTCAACATTACAATAACCCTAACCCGTAATCGGAGGAATGGTCCTTGTATCACGTCTAATTGACAATTCAGGGTCCCAGTTCTTAAGAGATTAACCTGCCGTCATTCAGAATAGTTATTCTTCAATGTGGAACGCAACCTTCCAAGGGTATCACTCATGGAGAAAGTGAGAGTGCTACTCTAGGGCGTTAAAACCCTAACCCCAAGACCTAACCCTGAAGTTTGAGAATTCTGTTTCTCTTTTTTGATTTAGTCAAAAAAAACCTTTTCCAAACCCTAAATTTTTTGACACTTTTTGTAAGTGGAATACATGCAGTTTTAATGTTGTGGCATGTTGTTATATGTTAAATGATTAAATGAAGATAACTATTTAATTGATTTGGGTTTGAAAATAAACAAACATTCTTTACCTGGATCCAATGAAGGTTCAATTGTTACACCAATTTTTGAAAATGTAGTATCCCCTACTGATTGACGACGATCTGTAAGTTCATCAAAGGTTGCTTTGAAAATGTGACATATCTGATTTGAAGTTACAATACTAATTGTACTGTAAAAAAGAAATGATAAAATTATAAGACATTTATTATATTTTATAACTAACTTGCAATCACTGAGCATGCTACAAAGTTTTTTGCAGTCAGCTTCACCTGTATTAAAAACTGTATGATAAGTAAATCCGCCAAGCTGATCAGGATAACTTTTATAGGTAACTTTAAAGGGGAAGGAGACAGACAAAAACAAAGAAATGTTATTAATATATTTATGTACTTTGCTTTTATTGCATTTAGTTATTTACTTGTGTCTCCAAATTGTGGAGTATCTGAAAAAGAAATTATTTATACTTTTATTTTACAAAAAAATCTAACACTTTTTAATTACCACAAACATCTGGTTTTTCATAATAATCATAACCAATGACTTGAGGTAACTGACTTCCTCCTAATCCTGCATGGTCAGTTGAAAGATAACATTTGTTGTTATCCTGTTTATCAACATAGAAACTCCTAAAGTGGAAAAAATGTGTAGATTTTACTCTCCCTCTCTCTCTTTCTATAAACATACTTGCAAAGTTCAAGATAATAGCATAACTTTTTACAATAGTCTACTCCTCTATCATCTATATTATAAATAACAACATATGTGCTTGTTGCTAACTGTTTATCTTCTTGATGAAAGAAATCGCAAACTGTATATTAATAAAAGATAAGGAGAAATATGAATAAATATAAAAATCATAATTTTTACTTGCACAATCATTATTTCTTATTGTCAAAAGAAATATTGTTATTAATTGAAAAATTAAAATATTCATTATTTTTTTGGAAAATCTAAAGCGTATTTGAGATGTATAAGAAAACATTATGTGGTTATATAGGAAATATTTCTATGAATTATTAATATAAAAGTTCAAAATTTTGTTTAGAAAGATTAATAATCAATCTTTCGATTGAATATGTCTTCATTCAATTTATGAAAAATTCATAGGGCTTCCTCAGTTCATTTTTTGTTCCTTATTTCTAAAATGTCAGAAATATAAAAAACATTCTTTCAACAGGAATACATATGGAATATTAATCAATGAGTGTTTCTTTTCTTTGTTCTCTTGTATTGATTTAAACACAGCAAGTAGAATATATGGTATTTTTGGGTTGAGATAAAAAGCATTCACTTAAGATCAGAAAACACTCTCAAAACATACAGCATTCTTAATTATTAATATTTAATAATAATGAATTGCTTCAGTTAACAAGTTAAACATCAGAATATAGAGAGAAACCATAAAGGAAATGGCAGGAAAAATTGGACACAGTAAATTTTGCAAGACCAACTTTCAATAAACAGTCAAAATTGGTTGTCCCCTTTAAAGTAGTTTGTTTAAAGTTTTATAGAAAATAGTCATCAATTAATTACAGAATATAATTGAGATATCATAGTACATGTGTACAACATTGGTTATATTTAACATGCTTGAACTCTATTATTTTATGCAACTTATACATGTACATCTTAAAAATCTATGCAAGAAAATGCTATAACATTGGCCAAAGAGAGGTTTCATTAGTCAGCTTGAAGGCTCATCTTTAATTACCAATAAAGGTTTGGTCAAGTTATAATTTAATTAACTTGCCTAGGGTGTGGCCTAACCCTAACCCCAAGTCCTAACCTAACTCTGCTATTGAACTCTCATATTGTTACTTGCTTAAGTATTATTATTGCGAATAAACCGTTTTAATTTAAACATTTGTTTAAAGGTTCGAGTAGAACCAGTATTGTTATAACTTTCAAGCGCATAGATTTTGCCAAGCAAGAGCAGTACAATAGTTATAAAATAGAAGGATATTGGGAAATTAAGGGTGATGGCAAGAGTTTTGGGAATGCATGGAAAAAGAGTTTGGGCACATACAAAGATAAAAAAATTATACTTGATTTATCAGTGTCGATTCATTACAACTAACACAACTCAAAAATCCTAACCAAAAACACAAGAAGGAAATAAAGATTTTAATACTTGATATATTCCTATCTATAGACTTAAAGTTTTGCATGCAAGTTCAGTATTTATTCATTAATAAATACAAAGGGATAATATCTACTGTTGCATTATTACCTGACCAGAATGATTTATGAAAAATCATTATACAATTTCAAGAGCCATAAATTTTTATTTTGGAAATATGATACAAAACATGCTCAACACATTGGAGAAAAAATCAACATATCTTATATCTGTCATCAATAACTTATTACTTGCCTTTTCCATTGTTAACAATCAATGGAAGGAAAAGTAAAATATTTACTCAATTGAAAAACTAATTCTAGTCAAATTCTACCATTTTTTACTATACAAAAGATTTTTACCAAAGCTTAGATTTACTTGGTCAAAGGATTTGTACTTTGTTGTATTATAATTGTAGGAATTTCTGCTTCTTCAGAGCAGTACTCGTCCTTTCCAATCATTTATCAATGCACCAAAGTACTCAAACAAATAGAACTTTTCAAGTTCATCCACAAATAGTCTTAATAAATGTAATTTCGGTAGAAATAATTCAACAAAATACCAGTATTTCATTTAAAGAATATCTATTGAGTAAATGAGTTTCTAGTTCTAAACAAATAAGTTTAAACAATCAGTTAACAGTTAAGAACTGAACTGCCAAATTGGTGAAATGTATTTTCTTTTATACATTTCCCAAAGCTTGGGTTCAATTTATCAAAAGATTGCATATGTCACAAAAACATAATCCCTAAACAAAGGCTATATAGTCAGCACATGTTGCCACATAACACATCTGTCCCATTAACATCTGATAATAGTTAAGAAAAACAACTTTGACACATTTCTTTTTAAAGTGCTAAAGTTAACTCTACAAAATAAAAGTCTTTCAAAAGTTCCACCATTATAATTCATACAAAATAGTAGTATTTCTATAGTTGCACCATTCTAATTCCTATAAAATAGAAGTCTTTCTAAGGTACCCTAATATCTAAAGTCTAAGCATTCATATATCATTATATCTTAGTGCACAGGATTACAAAGTTGAAATGTAACAGTCTCATAATGCACATATAACAAAAACAAAAAAAACTATTACATCACTTATGGCTAACATGTGGCAGTGCAAAAACAAGCCTGCCTGTTCCTCATCTGTTTTTGAATAAGATGTAACAAGTTTGATATGCATTTTATCTATATTGTTTGTTAATTCCATAATGGCACCATCTGTTATGGTCAAAGAATCTATTTCCTGCAAAATAAAGGTGTTTCTAAAGTTCTAGAATCTAATTCTACTAATTAAAAGTCTTTCTAAAGCTCCACAATTATAATTTGTATGACATAAAAGTGATTCTATAATTCCCCCATTATAATTGCTACAAAATAAAAGCCTTTCTAAAATTCTATAATATCTAAAGTCTAAATATCACAGAGTGTACGACTTTTAATCAATAATAGACCCAGAAAGCATCCAGAAAGCAAAAACACACCCTTGGTAATATGATACAGATATCATAACTCATACTGTGAAAGTCTACAGAAAGTGAAAAATTAAATATGAATGATTTTGGAACTATAATAAAGAAAGGAGTTAAAAATTTAAATATTAATCCTCGTTTTTTCAAAAAAATTTTTGTATAATCAAAGAAGTTATTTTCAATTGTTCATGACTAGTAACAAATACATTTTAAATATTCAAATTCTCACCTATTCCTTCCTGCTCATTATTAACACACCAAAGTACTGGTCCTAATAGAACCTAAAGTTTGTCCACAAGTATTAGCAAGTAAATGATATTTGTCCAAAGATTTGTATTTTACCAAATAAGATAGGTATTGACTATTCTGAGCCTTTATCTCTAAAATAAACATTTCATTGCAAATTAAATACAACATGTAAAAATTGACAAGATTGTCTGTCTAGAGAGATTTTCTCTTACCAGTTTATATTTTCTTTCAAATAGATTTACAATCTAGATTGAAAGTTTGAAATATGATAAGCTATTTTGAAAGTAAAGGTTATTTGATATGTTACACAACAATAAATGGTGTCTGGTATCTAATCTAGATTTTGGAATGCATCATGCTAATGTTTGTTCCTAACATTCAACTGATTTTATTCTTTGTGTTTTCTAATTGATTTTCTCTCTTTTATAGTTATTTTGTAAGAAATTCGGATTTAAAAATGTTTTGCTATAAACTATACCTAGATCCTAATTCTTGTATTATGTCTGTTTAAAGCTCCTTTGAGCAGTTTTCTCTATCCAACATTTTTGTTAGTATTCCCAGTTACTTTTATGAGTCACATGGTTGCTTTGCAACCAGACTAAATGAATGATTGATTTTTAACATTAAATTTTTTTATTAGTCTCTGCAATAACATTTTGCATGGATTGTTCTACCTACTTAAGTTTGGACAGCTGTTTCAACTATATGTTTCCAAGTATGTCACATACTTCATTTGATGGAATTTTTATTAAAGTATTTTATTAATGATCCACTTATTTTTTCCAACAATCTATAAATTATAGGCTTACTTAAAAACCAATTCAGACTGACAGACCACTTGGTGTTACACTCTCACTAAAAGCTTATATGGTTAAGATTAGTGTTGCTATTAGAAGCAGTTACACTAAAGAAAGGTTTGAGTGTTTTATGGCAGGGTTAGGTTAACTAACCCTAAATACCATGGTCTATTTTCAATCCATGTATGGCTACATCTTTTATAATTTTTATATACAGGGTTAAATTCCCCATTAACAGCCAAATGACCTAAACTAGTTGGCCATAAACCAGATATATATTTGTAGGTTGTTTATATACCAAGTTTACATTTGTGAATCCAGTTGAATACAATCCAACTGAAAAGTAGAAAAAAATCCAAACTATTTTAAGTAAGAAGACTTCAAAATGGCTACTGAGCAATGGAGAAGAATATAAAATAAAGGCAAAATGTTTTTGACCACTTTGTAAAATGTGTAACAAATATTCTTTCAAACATGAACAACTATTACATAGCATTATGTAAAACGTACAATTTTCTTTGATGAGCATCTTTTGATTCTTTCCCAATTCCATTGTGGCTCCGTCTGTTATAGTCAAATTATTCTTATTTAATTGTAATTTGCTGCTTTTAAATGAATCACTAAGCTCAAAATATCTGACAAACAGAGAAAGTTTTAATTTAAGAATTGAAGTACGGAACATAGAAAGATGAACAGAACCAGAATTCTGTAATCCATTAGTGAAGATGATGCCGAATTTTCTGTATTACCACCTGTTTGATTATTTGTTAAATAAATACATAATTTCTAAGTAGAATTCAATTGTTATCTTACAGAATTTTCACAGATACTCTTCATTTTCTTGTACAGTTTCATTAGAAGGTCTACAAGATTCTGGAATGTTATATGTGCAAAAGAACAAATCACATATTTTTTTGATATCAATACAGTTTTGCAGATAACTTTGGCATGCTGGAAAAAAAGAGATATAAACCCTAAATTATTGATTGGCGATATATTCAAGTATATTACTTAAGTAAGAAATCGCCTTAGTAAATAATTCAATGTCTAGGAAATTCCAAATAAGACAACCGTTCATAATAAGATTTCCTCCACACTGCACATGTCCTGTCATAATTATGCAGCATTGTGTTGGCATGAAACCATTTTCCATCATGTTATCAAAGTTATTGCTCATTTTTTCATTGCATTCCCTAACCAAACTTGTACAACTATTCTGTAAATTTCCTGTACTGTTTTCCATTGTCTTAAACTCCATTAAATTTTCAATATTTATCAGTGATGACGATGACAAT